CCTGCCGCTGCTCCGCTCGCTGCTGCGCTAATCTGCGCTATGCTGCGCTCCTGCTTCAGCCCCTGCGCTAAGTTTAGCGCATCAAAACAGCGCTCTGGCGCTGACCATACCGTACCGGTATAGTGCCGGTAGGTCGATGCCTCAACTGAGGCAGGTACCGGTACTTATACCGGTAGGCATTGGTCTGGCCTCAATGCTGCGAGGCCAGGCCAGTCCCTGAACCGTCCAGAWGGACGGTTCAGCCTCAATCGGCGGGCGGCAGCTTTAAGAGCGCCGCCAGGCCCAAACGAAGTGTCGTTTGGGCCTACCCGATGGGAGGCTGTCCAAAATCAGGCCTTTAGGGCCTGTAGTCAAAAAGGTCGGGCCTTTAGGCCCTGGTGTGTTCCTCCGGCCCTAAGTCGGGTCCGGTAGGACCCGTGTGAATCGAAAGATGTAACAGCGCTGGTCTTCTTCCTCCCTTCAGAGCACTTCTTCGTCCAGGTCGCTAGTCCGCACAAACTCCAACAGCTTCCACAAATTTGCGAAATGACAACTGACTGTCCTCCGGCACTGTAGCCCAAAATATATAGTTGAAGTGGGCTGTGTGTGCCTGCTTCAATCGGTACTGGCCTCCTTTGGCCTCTGCCTTGCCAAGTTGCTATTTTGGGAAAGTTCCCAACTTCCGTTGGTAGGCTGCTGCAAATTTGGACTTTGGGGACTGGCATGCTCCTACAGGTACTGTACTCACTGACCTGCGACGCCTACAGCTACAGACCCTAAGATTCAGCTACCGGTAGGGTTTGGGGACTTGCAGTGTGAATCCATCCATTCCCACCGGCCTAATTTCGAGGCCCTCCGAGAAAAATCAGAACTTCAATGATCATAGATGTTCATTCCTCTCTGCGCCCGCTCATAGTATGACACAATATGAGGGGCTGTTTGAACTAACTCATCCCTGGCGAACCAGCGGTCTTCGCTGGGTTCCTGATAAGCAAATCTAACTTTGTACTGTTTCTGCGGTCTCCCTCTACGACCTGTACGGAAGGTATCCTCAGCTATAATTTTCTCTACATCTTATCCTCCGTCCATATCAGGTGGAATCATAGATCTGCGTGAAGGAAATGCATCATTAGTCACACAGGGAAGGAGCTTAGAAGCATGAAAAACAGGATAGGTGTGCAGATGGGGTGGAATCTCGATGATGTATGACGGTCCCTGCGTCACCTTTGACATCTAGCACTTGCCACGACCCTTTGTAGCCAGGTAGCAGTTTTTGGGAAATCCCTTCCTCGCTTTAGACTTGACCCAGACAAGATCACCTACTGCAAACTGTGAAGGACAACTGTGTTTGTTTTATTGTTACATCATTTGATGGTGGGCCTTCCGGATGTTCTCAGCCACATGTTGCAGATCCTTCTCATACTGGATGGCAAACTCACGTGTACCGGGTGGCGGTCTTTGGATCCGATCCGGGTTCAAACAGTCTATGGGACGTCGAGGACTCCAGCCTCTATGCAGCTCATTCGGGGTCCGCGAGGTAGCTAGGTGAACCGAGTTGTTATACCCACTAGCTACCTTGGGAAGATGCTCATCCCAATCTACCTGGTCCGGTCTTATATACATACGCAGTACTTGCTGTAGAATCTTGTTCATCTGCTCGGTCTGCCCATTTGTCTCAGGGTGGCGCCCAGAGGACATAGCTAACTTAGATCCGTAGACCTTCATTAAGTGCTGCCACTGTTCCCCTGTGAACCGGTCGTCTCGGTCACTAACTATACTCAACGGGTGACCGTAATCCTTGACCCAATGGTTAAAGAACTCTTTGATGACCAGATCTGTCTTTGCTGCGGCAGGTAATGGTACAAAAACAACAAACTTACTAATCCTGTCAACTATAACCATGACCTGACTTTTTCCACTATTACTCTTGACCTTAGTGTCCATGAAATCGATAGATATAGATTCACCGGGGCTGGATGGGATAGGCAAGGGTTTCAACAGTCTGAGGGGAGGCTGCGTGGAATTCTTGTTCCTCTGACACACTTGGCAGTCTTGGACATAAGTGATGCAATCATGCTTCATGTCGGGCCATGTGTAGGACCTAAGAAGGGTCTCATAGGTCTTCCGCCAACCAAAGTGGCCTTCAGTATCGTGGCATTCCCCTAGGATCAAACTGCTTACCTCTTCATTACGCGGAATGCAAAGCCCATCATGCACATCAGTCTTTTCAAACAACAATCCATCGACCATTCTGAAGTCGGGGACTTCTCGAGGTCTGGTATGTGCCTTCTCTATGAGCGTCCTATACACGGGGTCATCAGCGTATGCAGCCTTGATCTTTTGCTGCAGATCCGCGCCAGCGTCCAAGTAAGTCACTATTGCACCAAAAAAATCTGCATGTCAGCGACGACGTTATACTTACCCTTGACTGGTTTTGACTGAAAAGCAAACTGATCAATCTCCCCAACCCACCTAGTCAACTTGGGAGTCATTCGGGCCTGGGTCTTCAACCAACGCAACGTCTCATGGTCTGAATATACCTTGAAGGGTCGCCCTAACAGGTAATGCCGCCAATGGTCTAAAGCCGGTCGAAGGGCAAAGAGCTCCCGCTCATAAGTTGAGGCTGCTACCTTCTCACTAGGGAGCCTGCAAGACATAAATTCAACGGGTCGGTATCCATTTCCATCATCCTGTTGGAGAACAGCGCCAATGCCATACTGGCTAGCATCGGTAGTAATGACAAACGGTAAGGATGGATCAGCTACTTTAAGGACTGGGTACTCGATGAGAGACTTCTTCAACTTTTTGAAGGCTGATGTACAGTCCTTGTCCCAATTCCAAACGGTTTCCTTCTGCAGCAGCCTGCGCAAAGGAGCAG